TCACAGATGCAGTGTATACTTACTCTTTGTGTTTGTGCAGCCCTGTCATAGACAAGTCCATTAGTGCTATTAGCTGCCATGTTAGGTAACTCTGCCCTTTCTAATGAACGCCAGCACACAGAGGGCCTTTAACTGCGGACTTCCTCACTTCCTGTGAAGGTAAATATTATGTGTTTTTCACTGCATCCACAGCACGAATGTGTCATGTCTGTGATGTGTCAGTGCGTCTGTAAACCACTCTGGGGGACTGTGAGATTGCTTTACAAACTGAGACTTACAGAGACCTGCTTGAGTGCACCTGAACAATACAGCAGTTCATTCAACTCGGGCCTTCTCTCACCGTGATAAAAATCAGGCCTTTGAGAGCCTCTGCAGAGATGAGGAGAGGAGGAAAATGGCATCCAGATCTCAAATGTGGTGCTTATTTTAAAATAAAACAGTCTATGCATTGATAACTTTGACCTGACAATATCATGACCTCTGACCTCCTTGTGTTTCCTCTCATGACGTCATTATTATTATCGTAACTTGTACAGTGTGCTATTTATCAGTCTAGATTGTTTTGGTGTTTGGAGTTAAAGTGTTGGAGGTATCGACTTCATATTTGTCAATAACAAATATCTCTGGTTTGAAGTCAGAGAAGTCATGAAGGCATAGTCAGAGTATGTAATACATGTGGTACATAATAGCATAGAACTAGTCTAAGGCTCAGTTATGTAACACTGAAGACAGTTTGTACTGTGAAAACTAACATTTTTGAACTGTTACTGGCTAGACTTGTCTTTGCTATGAAGCAAATCAAGCTCTAGATGAAAATCTTGTGAAACAGATCAAGGGAACGTACACTGAACAAACACTTAAACACTTTGACACTTTTGTTTTTGCCCTACATTTTTTTTACAGTGTGGCATTGTGTCAGCAAACAGTTTGCTAATGCCAACGTTATGACAGAGTAAGGTGATGGTATGGGCTGGCATATGCTATTGACAATGAACACAGGTGCATTCTATTGATGGCAGTTTGAATGCACAGAGACACCGTGACGTGATCCTGAGACCCATCGTCATGCCTTCATCCGCTGCCATGACCTCATGTTGCAGCATGACAATGCACGGCCCCATGTTCCAAAGATCTGTACACAATTCCTGGAAGCTGAAAACATCCCAGTTCTTACATAATCACTATACACCAAACTATACATCATCCTTGGAGGATGCCACAGATGCCAGGAGCAAAAACAAAAGTGTTGTGTTTAAATTCGTGGTTCAGTGTAATTAAGCAAATAATAATTTCTTAATGGAGACACTGCTGGAAGTTGATTTGTTTGGATGTGATGAACATCTGACAGAACGAAGAGACACAACACAGTGATATGAAGTGATTAAATAGGTTTATTTGATTTACAGACATGTACATTTTCTATCAACCCCCTGAGGGAGCATCACAGTTCAGTTCTACAATAATATCCTTTGATTTCTCTACACTTCTCTTGTATTGACTTGCTCTAAAAATAAAAAATAACCTCTGTTTTCTGCTCAACATCAGAAATAGGTTTCTTTATACATGATTCTTGTATGACAAGAAATAGCACATTCTCAATACATCACTTCAGTGATTATTAACATAGAATTACTCGATACAATGGACTTACATACTTCTAAAGGATTGCTGCTAAATCAACTAAATTTGGCAAAGTGAAACTCAATTCATGACCCATCTGACCAGAGCCAACGTCCCTTCTCACGACAGATGACAGCATGTCCGCATGTGTACTGTACTGTGAGCACGAAGTTGATGCTGTGGTTCAAATAAATCCCTGAACAATAAGTGTGCAAAATGGTTTGATCAGTTTAAAAAAAAAACAACAACAACATTTACAAGAGCTACAAAAATAAATGCAAAAATATTGCACCCTAAACATGAGACCAATAAGTTGTCTTGAATCCATCACATTGCAGTTTCTTTTGTGTGTAATATGTGTGAGATGTCCAATCGGTGATCACAGTAAACAGGATGAATCCTTGTGATGTAAAAAGGTATTGTGTTGTTTCATTGTGATACAAAAGGATGAACAAACAGGCATTTTCTAACCCAACGACATACAACAAAGTGTGGTATACTCAAACTTTAAACTTCCCTTTATAGATTATTCTTCATTATGGTAACAAACAAATAAATACATTGCATCCAAGCCATCATTTACAATATATTAAAGTTGCTGCGTGATATAGCTATATATATATATATCTCTCTATTGTAGTTATTACAAAAAACCTCATTTGGTAACATTAAGAAAATCAACAAAAGGAAGGTAAGAAGCTTAGTTCATTAAGAAGATGTAGGTGTGTAAACACGTCAGGTTGGACAGAATCACATTCAGAGAGCTCCACGCAGTTGGAGAGAAGCTAAAGCTAATGATCTGGCAGCAAGGACACAGCCCACACAGCACCCACACACACAGCCAGTGAGTCATGCTCACACATCGATGCTACAAGAACCACCTCAACGCTTCCCTTTATTCCTCCGCTAAGGTCACTCCATCCTCCTCCTCCTCCTCCTGTGTTTTCTTAGAGGTCTGCAAAGTGCTTTTTTTCCCTTTTATGCACCAGTTTTAAAACCTTTGACTCCATTAGTGGCTCCAAGGTTTCAGTAAAATTGTATCTACCAGGTAATAAACAACAAAATCCTTCAGGGTAGCTTCTAAGTAAATGAAGCATTTGCGTAAATCTCTGTATGTACAAGCATCTAGCTAAAGCTTTGTTTCTGGGATTTTACATTAAAGATTAAAAGAGTGATGACATCAAATCCAGGTTTTATCAATTGTGTACTTCTATTTTTATGTACAGGGTTCCCACACATTTTTACCAATACATTTTCAGACCTTTTCCATATTATTTTAACTTTAATTTACTTTTTATTTTAGTAGTTTAGTATTAATGGATAAGCCTATATAGCAATATAGCACTTCCCAGGCATTTGAAGACAAAGAAACTGCTAACACGTGGTGACTTTACTTGCTCATTCCACATTCCCGCCATCAACTAGGTGCATATGCCAATAGACCAGATCTTCACATACGGGTACTTCACAAAACATCAATGCCCCGCCCCTTTTTGGGGATAGAAAACCAAAGATCATATAGATGTCAATTTGACGTATGTTTAGATGATGATAATTTAAACAAATAAGTTTGTATTTCCCAACTTGTTAGACAGTAATATCTGGTTGAATTTAGGTTGGGTGACGTTTAATGCCAATATCAATGTAACGTAGAATACTGACAACAGATGAGGTTGATATTTTGTTGGTTTTAATTTGACATTAGCTAACATCTCATACTAACATTATTTTGATGTAGAGGAACGTAATTTAGTTGTAAGGTATGGAGGCCAAAACCCAACGTCTGCAAAATGTCAAAATATTAACATCCACACAAGGAGTATAGCCTTGGCGATGACATAATTCTGGTCTTGTTTTTATGTAACATATGACACTTGTGACATTTCAACAGTCAGACAGCGCAGTTCTAGATTTAAAGTTAGTAATACAGGGAGCGTATTTTGCATAACGTTCAACATTTTTTGGGACCATTTCCAGGCCTGGAAAACAGTTTTTCTAATTCCATAACTTTTTCAGGAATTTCATGACCGTGGGAACCCTGTGTGTAAACCTCCATGTTATTCTCTGGTGTATTTATTGAAGAGGACTCAGTTTTTCAGCTCCTGCTGTAACATCTGAGGACATGCTGGTCTGGTTTCAAAGGGGGATTCCTCGCCATCAGTCTAACCTGGGGCGAAAGGATTTCCTGTTCCTGTCTGGGATTTTGATTCCCCTCAGTAATAAACTGATGACTGTGACTCCAGCTCTTCTCAAAGGTCCTTTCTTCTAATCGTGGAATGGGATATCTACAATTGCAAGTGGGAAAGGTCTCTTTTCACAATGCCTGGTATTGTAACCAGAGTGGACTGGACTGGAATCCATCATTAAAAGCGACTCTGTGTGGGTGTCGTGTCCGGAAATTCAAAACCAACCATCAGAAAGCTGCCCCTTTAAAGAGAAAACTAGCTCACTGATAAGGCAGTGTGGATAAAAAGGTTGGTTTCCTCAAAAATGTTTGTATTGCTTCTTGTGTACACAAAAAGACAAGTGCTACTCCTTAAAAAGTCAAAAGAGTAGCATTTCATTTACTTTTGGGAAAAGCATTATAAATTATAAAACATATATAGTCCAGTGTCCACTTTAAATCGCCCGGATTGCATCAACGTCCTTCTGAAACAATCATAGGCAGAAACCTCCAGTTTCAAATCCAACATCACACAGAACAAAAAAATATAATAAAAAATTAAAAAAAATTACAAGAAATCTTGTGAAAAATAATGTGCAGAAATCTCTCATCTCTGTCATGTTATCTGGCACTGTCTTTGCTGATGTTAAGTGCTAAAAGCTAAAAATAAAAACATGTGGGGGTCAAAAGAAACAGCTGTTGATGTGAAAGCTCCAATTATTAAGGCTGAATCACTGACCTCTAGACAGTAACACTTTTGGCTCTTGGTTTGACGGCTATGTTTACATGCACAGCACAAACTTCCATTGCTTATATGAGAATACTGCATTCATCATGTAAACACTGTATTTACATTTGAAGTACATCTTGTTAATACTGTGATTAAAGGAAAACTTCACCTGCTAAATTATCATTCGATTTCAATTACTTGCCTTGTGAATTAGTGAAGAAAGCTTTGTTTTTCTCGCATGTCTCCAAGGTGAACGAAGAATCCAAAAACTGAGAAAATTTGCGTTTAAAGGTGTACGACGCAGGATCGTCGGTTACTGTTTGTCAACACATTTGCCAGCGAAAAAGAAAGTAAGAGCCAACCCCAGTTTCATTCTCATTTAGCGTTTTGCCTCGCTATATTTGTATTTTTTGGTCGCTGTGTGTCTTGGATGCCTGCTGCTTACAGTCTGACACCTGGTCGCCACCTTTTTATAAAGCCCTGACCTCACCAGAGTGCTTCAGGGGTACACACACACACATATCAGTGTCCTAAACACAGAAAATAAGAAAATACAAGCAGAGGGCAGAATCTCTGCAGGAAAATACACTTCTAGGATTTTTTTTTTCAGCTGGCCATAAAACTTGAGTACTTTTACATTAAGTACTTTTAGTTTCGCTGATAATACTTACATACTTTTACGTAAGGTTTTGAACGCAGGACTTTTACTTGTGGTGGAGTTAACTAATAATATTCACTAATATTTTTATGCTTTTTGCAATCAAAATCTGAAGTTTTTCAGAAGCTATAACTTGGTTTACCTCTTTACACCTGAGGGTTTACCTAATACCCAATACCTGGAACAATCTGTTCCCCATGAGGTTCTTATGCGATGGAAACATTAGTTACATCTCCAGTTAATAGGATAAACCTTAGAAACAATTTAGCAACAGCTGATATTTCTAGTCCACTCAGCTCACAGAACCCTCTGGGACAGTGATGGTGGACAGTGAAGGTCAATCAAAAACTTGTCGCACAGTTATTGACGATCATACATTGCATTCTGTCACAAAGTGTGTGGGGTCAATGCGAAATGAAACGTGGTAAATCAATGGCTAGCGTCACTCACCACGTGACTTTGTCCTTGCAGAACCCCTACAGAAAATGCATGTATTTAGGAAATAGTGAACATACGACTGGATAAATGAGACTTGATGATGCACCAGTTGTGTGAGAGTTTGTAAACACATTTCTTCGTTTTTGGATTCTCCATTCACTGTGAAGGGTGGCGCAAAATACAAAGTTTTTTTTCCCTAAATTCATTGTAACATGGGGTGAATTATTGATATACAAATGGTATTTTTTGCAGGCGAAGTATTCCTTTCAGATTAGCAGAGTAATTTGATGTTAGTCATATCATTGGAGGCTTGTTTAAACAGATGAACACCACTTGTGAATTATATTCCTGCAGCAAATTTAAACAAGTTGCATCATTTGCTCCATTTTACAGCTTCTGTCTGTTTACAGGGCAGAATGAATTGGGGAAGATTTGCATCAGAGCAACAGAGACACCAAACTGCAGTTCATAAATGCAGCTGCTTCTGCTGTCTGGCAGAGATACGCAAACTGCATAATCAAAGTCATCTGAATTATAGTGTGCATGTAAACATAGTCAGTGATGAAGTCATGAGGGTTGTTGGTGGTCAGTGCAAAGTCTGAAGGAATGTAATGACGCTATGGCACTTGGTGCAGATTGACAGCCGATGTAACAGACAGACAGACAGACACATAGAGTTAGACTGTTGGACAGACAAGCAGACAGACAGGGCAGGTTCATGGTCAGCATTCAGTAGTATGACATCAGGAACCTCCTCCCTGGAAGGTTCAGTGGATCCTGGCAGACAGAGGTGAAGAGGACACCAGCTGTCAGCCGGCCGGGTTCAGCACACTGCTGTGCGCCTTCTCACCGACCTGTGATTTGGAGGCGTTTCAAGGAGGGGCAAGACGCTCCCTTGTTCCAGTTCTGAGCAGCCTCCACCAGAGTGTAGAAGGGAAGAGCAGCAGGAGCCAAGAGGAGGATGATCGTAGCGGTGACAGCGGTGAAGAGAACATGGATGTGGTTTTAAAGAAGTGGATCAGCTGCCCTCACTTTTCAATCTCCATCCTTATTGGGTTTGGTTGCTCCTTCATATGGCTCCTCATGTGGCTGTCACCTGAAAGAGGGAGCGGGACAGAGAGAGGAGGAAATGGTGCAGTTAGAGTCCGGCCTCACCACAGGATATTCTCATGTAATTAATGTTGAGGTCGAAAGCTCCTGAGCCATCTGTTAGGACCTTCCTGATAACGCCTGCACACCAGGACCAGCCTGTGACCTACATATTTCCCTGTACACAGCATACCAACACATAACAGTTTGTATAATGCAGACACCCCTGATCTGTACAGCATGCTATAAGCCACAGTAACACACAGATACTGTCTCTCAAGATATGCAGATTTTTGCAAGAATAAAACAAACTAATCCTTGCACATATAATTTTTTATACATTTATACTTTGTACTGTATTCATGGCACTGCACTCTCGGAAAGCAGAGCGTACTCTGGGCACAGATGGAGCAGCAGAACATCAGGCGCAATGAAAGTAAAACTTAATTGTTCGTTGTGCTGAGTCTAAAATTTTGCTTTTGCTCGCCTCTGCAGCAGCTGCTCCTCTCATCTATCAATCTGATCAGTTCTTATCGGACCAACTGAGCAATTATCCACCTAGGTGGGAAATGCTGATTCTTGATTTTTGCAATACTTGTTTTTATTTATGTTTTTTCCTTGAATTATGGTACAGCTATAGAGGCGTAAATACACACATATCATGTCTGCAATAAACTCCACCAGAGACATTTTTTGTACACATGTGACAGGATCAATTATACAGCAGTAATATGTGCTGCATGAGGGTTACAGCAGTATTATAGTTACACAAAATTTGTTTCAGTTGTGACACGCTCAGGCCTCCATAGTCAATATGTGGAATGTTTGATACTCTGTATTCTGTATCCCTACGTTCACCTTTGAGGGTACCTCACCTATAAGGGGGTGTCTCCCGCCTTACCTCTCTCCTTTTGCTGTTATACTCCATGGGAGAGGTAAGCGACGTTGCTCTTGTAGTGATTTCCGTGTTTTAGCGCTGTTAAGCTGTTTTTAAAGTTCATTTTTCAGCCTAAACTTATTGTATAATATGCTGACATATTCCTGTGTCACTTAATCTGTTTAGGGGCCTGAGTTATGTGGTTGTAATTGACGGAGGATTTTGTTTTTACCTCTTGCTGTCAGGTATGTTTTCTGTGTTGTATTGTACTGAACTGAATGTAACATGGCCACAGTTTTTGCTGTTGTACTCCATGGGAGAGGGGCTCGAGTTATGTGGTCGTAATGGACGGAGGATTTTGTTTTTCCCTCTTGCCGTCAGAGTTGTTTGGAATTAATGGAGATCGCCTCCAAAGATATCCACAGTCTGGGCCTCTTCACATCAACATAACATAGACAATAATAGAGTACACAGGTTACGCATGTACATGATAGTGTTTTCTGGCTTTCACAAATGGATTTTAAATATGTGAAATATAATAAACACACAGCTTAGATGATGAGACTTTGGCTAGGCACAACCAAATTTTAACATCATATCATAAAAGGTCAGATTGTTGGCCGTACTGAAGGTGTGTGTGCACCAAGTGCCTCTCTAGTTAATGTATGCAAGTACAAAAATCTTAACATGGACTAATATATACAGAATAAAACTGTATTATTATTTGTTGTTTGTCTTGAACTGCCTCCAGCTGCTGCAGTACACATAAGCAAAGCTCATGTGAGGGGAAAATGCAACACCAGAGGGGAAGATGACACTCCAGTTGGAGATTAGACCATAAAGCGTTCACAGAGCCACACTTGTGATCGCTGAGATTGGATGAGAGAGGTGGCAGTGTTTCCTGTTGTTTGTTTGGAGTCTGTCATTACGGTGCCCTGGATGCTCCAGTACACAAGCTACTATTGCTGCTACAATGGGATTAGTGCAGGGAGCACGGCGGAGCTAATGCCTCATACTCCCAAAAACACATTCACACACACACCCACAGACCCACAGTGTGCACACATAGACATCTACGTACACACTTGCATATATATGCATGCAGACACACTACTGTGTTCCCAAAAAACAACAGCCACACATCATACAAATGAGGGTAATAGCTTAAACAGGAGGATTAGAGGATTCCCAAAAACAATGTGTTTTGCTTCTGTAGCTGCAGATCCAATCCTCTCTGGGACAAACCATTTCGCTCAATTATTAGTGTCAGTTGTTGCCGTAAACTGTGAATTGTTTATGAGCCAAACTCAGAATTAAATTGCTCAAATGCCAGCGTGACATAGAGATAATTAAAGCTGTGAATGCTTTGATATGTGTGAGATTGGCCGCCCTCCTCCTCAGCAGCTTCACTATTGCTGTGCTGTGGAGAGTGTTGGCTTCTGAAGCAAAGGGGAGGACTGACTGGTCTGGCAAGAGAATAAACTCTAATCAAACTGACTTGTAGTGGTTTTTGGCTGGGATGATGCAAATCGTGAGGCCTGACATTGCTGTAGATCTAACTGGGATTTTCACTCGAGGGCGGATGGAGAAACCAGTGAATGGTCCGCTACACGAGACCAAACATGCTTTGCTGTAAAGTAGGGGGTGTTGTGATATACTGGTATTGACGATAACCACAATATTGATATCATATTAATTATACACATATGGTGATATTATGTAAATAATCCAGCGCCTCCTAAAATCATTTATTTCTGTTTTCACTTTTTGTCTCTCCCCCAACACCATCTGGTTGCCTTTTCACTATCCATTAAGTGTAATTGCTCTTTGTGCACGCTTTTGCACATTTATAGTAACAGACTCCCACCTCCCTACCTTTGTATTTGGAGTGTAATGCATTTGCCAAACAAAACACAAAATGCACAATAAACAAAGTTAAAGATAAGTTTGACTATAGCAGGATTTTTTTTCCTTCAAATTGTCTATAAACATAGTGATAATATAGTAGTCGAGAACTGTTTTGGCTACAATAATCCTGTACTTAAAATCTGATATTGTGCCAGTCCAACTGGAAAGACAGCACTGCGTTCCTCCTCTTTTTATCTATTCCTAGCACAAGGCTTATTGCTTAATTCCATGTTTTTCTCCCAAATCTGATCTGCCTAGATAGTTCATGTTCATGTTTAAAGCGATCCATATCTGACATCACTGTGAACGGATCTATGCACTTGAACGCCACACATGCAACCAATAATGTTGCACACATGCGCATTGGGACACATCTGCAAAACAGGCATTTAGTAAAAAAAATAATGACACAGCGGAGCAAGGTTCATCTCCAGAATATTTTGTAAAAGTGAACTAAAGATTGTCATTTTAATGGGAAATTACTTGTTTTTTGTATAACACTAACTCATCATTTTTAATATTGATCACTGTAAACTGTTTTGTTTGCTTGTTTGTTTGATTGTTTGCTGAAGACGGGAAAACAAGTTGGCATCATATGCTCTTCTGACATAACATGTTTTTGTGTTTCATTCTATGTTGAGAAGTCAAATGCTGCTCAGCTGATAAGCAGACTATATTTCTTAGACAATCAGTTATTGATCTTGAGAAAATCATAAAAATATGCATTTCTGTCTCTTGTCATAGAATTCTTCCTCCTGATCCCTCATATTTTGTTTGTTTTCACGCAACACGTTCATTCATATTACCACTTTGTAAGAGGCCTTTCATGTCTACATATTATGCACAAGGTATCCTTCTGCATCTGCTGCTGACATTCCAGGACACACTACCAACACTGGGACATCAGCAAAAGCACATGGTTGGGTTGAGGCAACCAAAGCACGTGGATGTCCGGGGTTTGTTGGATCCATCCACCACCCCTCCCACCCACATTAATGGGACTTTCCAGCTCCTTATATTAGTTGTGACAAGCAGAGTTTCAACCAGACGCCGTCCAGTGGTGTATCATACCAATGCAACAGGTGCCATCCCTGCCAACCGGGTATATATCATTACAATGCAAACTAACACCGCCCAGCCAAGTATCATACTGCGGAGAAAGGTGGCTTTTGGTGTCAGGTGTCTGACGCTGAAATCATTGACAAAGCAGTGGTATTCGGTGACGAGACTTGAATTTGATGACTGAGACAAATTTCTGAAACTGTGCAGACTTATTTATAAGCCAATCAAGTTTTCATTTGTATCTTACTGTTATCTCAAGAGCTGATTATTTCTGACAAATACAGATTAGAGAGAGAGAAAAAAGAACATTTTAAGATTTTGAATTAAGATCGGGCAGAGACAAGGGAAGGCTACTTTTTGGTAGCTCAATTTAAGAAGTACGAGAAAATGGTCAGTTTTGAGTTCAGTTATGTTTAGGATAAGTAGGCTGGATGAAGAAGAGATCTTATACTGAATGTTCCTTTCCTCTGGAACAGGCTTTTGGGCCTACTAATTCTATTATCTATCTGCTCTAATCTTACTGCTCCCTCTGCGGAGAGAGGTGTAGGTGCGGCTGGGAGGGGAATAAGAACTGGTGGGGCCGCGATGTAATGTATGTAATGTTTCATGGAGAAACAGCCTCACGACAACGCTGTCACAGCAAATAGGCAAACATGGATGTTTGGGAAGAACACACATGAATTCTGATATAACTGTTCTCACAGTATCAGATTTATGACCACCTATGTAAGTAGCCCAGATCTGACTGGAAAAAATCGTATATCTGTGTCCACACTGCTCTGGAAAAATCTGATCTGTAAAACATGAGGGCCACATTTGCTTGTAATGTGAACACAGCCTGTGTGTGTGTGTGTGTGTGTGTGTGTGTGTGTGTGTATGTGCATGTGTCACCATGAACCCACTCTGCCGACTGAGGACTCAGAGCTTTTGTTGAATGATAAGAGTGTGAAGAAGGAAAGAATGTGCCTGCAGCTGTATAAACACTTATAACAGTTAAAGTTTGGACAACGGCAACTAAATCAGAGTTTTGCCTCGTGATGAGAGCTTCCACCTCGAGTAGTGTGGGGTTGTGGATACTGAATAAATGAGTGTGAAGCTCCGCTGTCAGATCTCACGCTGATCTTTTGACAGCCCCCAGCTTGGGGATGTCGTCTGGTTAT